ACCGGGTTCCCTCACCTCTCGATCCTGTCACGGCTCTCTGCCGTGACAGGGGGAGGGGCTGGATTCCCCTCTCCCCGCTCTGATCTGCCAGAGCTGACTGGCGGAACGGACGGGGGAGGGGGCGGGTACAGCTGGCTCGGCCTCTAGATAGGCAGAGCCAGCTGTCACTCACGCAGCTGGGCGGAACCCGTCATCTAAGTCGGGATCCGCTCCAGGTGCGGCGTCTCAGTATACCGCGAGCTGTAGCTCGCGGTATACTGAGCTTAGGGTGACGGGAGGACGCTAGTTTGTGTCCTCCCGTTACCCCAAGGAGAACTATGGGGAAAAACACTGACCCCATAGTTCTCCTTTAAGTTCAACTTTTAGTGAATAGACCTGCTATTTTGAACTAATTCTGTAACACAACAATGTATATGTGGGTGGAGCTTGTGGGTGGGTGGGGCTTGTATATGGGCGCAGCACAAGGTGGCCCCATAATCTTATATTGCCCGGGGGCCCCATGTGTTGTCAGTCCGCCCCTGGATCGAGAAGAGTTGACTACTGCAGCAGAAGCGGTTTTATTTTTAATTTTTATAGCTACTGGGGAACCCTTTTTGTTACTGGAAGAAAACAGGTGCAGTTGAAATTTAAAGTGACACTAAACTCAGGAGTTAAATCGTAAAAATGCATTCAAGCACCTTAAAGGAGACCTATGAGGTGAGTACTTTTCGCTCACCTCATAGTTCTAGCTGACCTGTGACAATGAGACTGTCACAGGTCGGCTCAGTAGATTGGGAAGTGAGCGAACACATACCGGCATTCGCTCACTTCTCGATCCTGTCACGGCTCTCTGCCGTGACAGGGGAGGGGCTGGCTTCCCCCCTCCCTGCTCCGATCCTCCAGCGCTGACTGGCGGAGCGGACAGGGCAGGGGGCGGGTACAGCTGGCTCTGACTCGAGATAGGCAGAGCCAGCTGTCACTCACGCAGCTGGGCGGATCCAGACATAATTGTCGGGAATCCGCTTCAGCTGCGGCGTCTAAGTATAGCACGAGCTGTAGCTCACGGTATACTGCGGCGTCTCAGTATACCGCGAGCTGTAGCTTGCGGTATACTGAGCTTAGGGTGATGGGAGGACGCTAGTTTGTGTCCTCCCGTTACCCTAAGGAGAACTATGGGGAAAAGCCCTAACCCCATAGTTCTCCTTTAACTATTTACAAAAATGTATCTTATTTGTGTATCACTCAAAAGGACATTGTCAGCACCAATTCAGAGATGATTTGAGGACCTACAGCCGAGTGATACACAAATAAGCTGCATTTTTGTTAATAGTTAGGGTACTTGAATGCATTTTTTAGATTTAACTCCTGAGTTTTGTGTCACTTTAAAGCAACTAATTCTTATTTTTTTTCACAATAGTAAAGTACTATAGGACGAATAAACTAATGTGATTGTAAGCCCTCAGGGGCAGGGTCCCCCTTACCATCTTGTCTTGAATTGTATTGTGATTGTGATGTCTTCCTTATATTGTAAAGCGCTGCGCAAACTTTTGGCGCTATATAAATCCTGTATAATAATAATGTGAAATTTGCATTGGAAGCATTATCCTTCATGCAAGCACCTATATATATACCTGTGCTAATCCGATGATCCCCAGGGGAGACTAAACCAGGATAAACATGGGAACAGTACCAGATTTCCCACAAGGCCAACCGAGGCCTGGCCTCGGGGCAGCAGGGAGTAAAGGGAGAGCAGGGGTGTGGAATTCCTATTTCCTGACACCCGGACAAGCAGTTCTGCGCTCTGGGTGGGTAGTTGTATTCTACATTTAGCCCCGCTTTGGACAAGCATGGCTAAATGTACAGTCGGGTATCTGCCGCTTGTTTTGTACAAGTGATCCCGGCAATGTCGCTGAGATCACATGTATGCAGCTTGCATACAGGGGGGCGCATTGAGGAACCCGGCATTGGGGCAGCAGAGAGTAAATCTGGCCCTGCATGGAAAGAAAGGTCCTACGCTGGTCCAAACACATACAGTATATAATAACAACATCTACATAGGTTTAAACAGTACTAATGTAATAACTGGATACCCTGATTTTCTAAGTAGATTCTAGCATCAGCATAATGTTATGAAAAATATCATGCTAAATTTAGTTTTTCCCTCCAGTTTAAATATGAAAACGAAAGCACATTTATAAAAGGGACTAATATGCAGGAGTAATATTTAACCACTTATTTTGGTGTAATCAGAGCTGATTTAATTTTTGGGGCTGCTGAAAGCTACTTAGAATAATTACTAATAATAAGTAATTACTGGTGTTGTGAGTGTATACATCGCCAATACAGGGCGTTATTCAATGCAATAAAAAGGTTTTCCATTCTCTGCCTCAAAGTAGAAAACCCCTTTACTATTTTTTTCCTGTGTATACTCAAGAACATAGAACTTAGTTTCTTAAAAACATGTTACATGGCTTTGAAACATCACATTTGCAAGCGAGAACAAGTCCACATGAACCTCCTAGGGTCAGGATACATTCTATATTTATGGTATTTGTTACAACTTGTATAATGGTATGAGGAAAAAAACACCCTGGCAGCAGCCCATATGCCAAAGTCTATTTTTTTCTAAAAGGAGATAATTCGGGTGAAAAACTACAATTATACCTGAGCACCCTATTTTTATAAAAATTATAATAAATTTAGCCCTGCTAAATAAAGTGGTCAGATGATCAATGGTAGTATGCCATATAAAGAGTTTGCGTGCTTTGAATATATGTATATCTTCAATTTACTATAAACTGTGTGTATACTGCATAAAGCTGGTCATACACACCCTACTGAATTGACCATAACTTGAGCCATGGGTAGCCCTGTCAGCACCACCCTTCTTGACAAAAGCCACTTAAAAAATGAAAGGAGCTATGTGGAAAATTGTCGACCAAACATTTCTTGCATCCTATCAGATGGTGCTGCAGCTGTGTAAATACAATAGCTGGCAAGGGAGATTCCTCCATCCACATTGTTTAGCATAGATAGAAAAACAAATTAATTTGTCTTGTTCATCTTGCGGGGCTGAATGAGATCAATCTAAACATGTATAACTAGCCTAAGAAAGAAAGCACTTTAGCAATGGTTACACGCACTAGTATAATGGTGATAAACAGATGTGAACTGTGCTTAAAAGGAGAATTATGGGGTGAGTGAAAAGCACTCATCTCCATAATTCAAGCCGACCTGTGACACTGATCGGGAAGTCAGTGAACACACACCGCCGAATGCTGACTTCCCAAACCTCTCCCTGCAGAGAGCAGTGACTGTCAATCATCACTCACCACAGGGATTCCCCCTCCTCACTCTGCGCTGACTGGAGGAACAGATGGGGGAGGGGACAAGCACAGCTGGCTCTGTCTCTAAAGAGGCAGAGCCTGCTGTCAATCAGACAGCTGGGTGGATCTCAACAATATTGTCAGGATCCATCCCAGCTGTGGCTGTGGCACTGCGCTCAAAGCATATAGCGAGCAATAGCCCGCTATATACTTACTTTTGGGTCACGTTTTGGGTGAGGACATAGTGTAGGCGACCCTGTGACCCTGAAGAGAACTATGGCCAAAAAAGTTTGGCACATAGTTCTCTTTTAAAAAGAGTATCTAAACTGAATGCCAAAAATGTAATATACAGTATTTCAGCTTACCAGTCCTTAGATGTAGTGGCTGCATTTGTTTATTTTTTCAGGCTTTTTTCCCCATTATTGTCACCTGGTAATCCTTGGATAACACAATCACCCAATGTATCTATGGCGGGTGCCAAGGTTGTCACCATAGGACAGGACTACATACGCGTCTTTCTCTTGTCATCATAACATGGGTTTGGCTTGAATAGTCATTTACAAAAGGAATATAATACAGGTTGTGCTTTCAGTTCAGCTTACAGGAAGTCACAAGGACACTGCCTTTCTGAATAGATCGATATGTATTTTCTTTACATGTTCTTTACATGTTCTTATCCTGAAAATGAAAACTAATGCGTCAACTGCATCTAAGGACTAATAAGCTGCAACATATTACATTTTTGTTTTGGAGTTGGAAAGGAAGACCTATTTTATCCATGCACATACATGGTGAATGACCATTGTTGTTGCTTGTAGGATACAAAACACATTCATTTATAAACATCAACCCAGAATGCCTTCATGTTGCAGTACAAGCTAGCTACCCACACTCATATAGGGTTGGGGAACTCTAGTCCTATTGCCTACAACAGCACCGCTCATGGAGAATTCAGGCAGCAGATCTTCCAGTACAGCCTTCTTCTTGAAATCCTATCAGTTCCATTTATAGCAGTAATAAGAATGGAGAGTTTAAAATACATTATTAGCTTTGCTGACGTTCACAGAGCTGGCAGCTCACCCAACTCTTTTATTTTGCTATAGCTAGGTAGCATCAATATATACAGTACAGTGTATAAAGAGCCACGTAGATCAGTTTCTATCCCCGAGAAGTTTACACTAACTAGAGCATTCAAAAGGAAACACAAAAACATACAAGGTACATGCTGATAGTGACTGCTTATGGTAGAAAATGAACTCAAGACCACAGGGTTATTTGTACAAAATTGCCAGCCTATAAAATAAGAGACAAAACAGTATACTTACCTTTCTGGCAGCCCATGTATTGAAATGCTGCCACTTTGCTGCTCCCTGGCCAATGCAGCCTTTCGAGTGTGTCCTGCTACCTGCTTCCCCCAATGCACACTCTAGTTCTTCCCGCTGGTTTGTATGTTCTGCAGTGACATACAGGCTGGTGAAAGGAACCACATTGTGCCGTGGAGGAGCACATCTTTGACATAACCGGAAGTGTGAATATCTGTATTGGCCAGGGAGCAGCAATGCAGAATATTTCAACACATGGTCAGCCGGAACGGTAAGTACATTGAGGGGAATTTATCAAAACTGGAGCAGACAAAATCTGGAGCAGTTGCACAGAGCAACCAATCAGCTTCTCTCTTGAGTTAGCTCAGTTAAGATTTGAAAATGAAAAAGGGGAGCCGATTAGTTGTCGTGCACAGCTGCTCCAGATTTTCTCTGCTACAGTTTTGATAAATCCCCCCATTGTCTCTTATTTGACAGCCTTGCTACTGTATACAGGTGACCTTGCAGGGACAGGTACAAAATGTAGCACTAATAATTAAATGAAAACTGTAAAGTCTTGTTAACAAGATTTTACATAGCCTGAGGCGATGTCATTCCGGGAAAGGGGGGGGGGGGTAGGGGTTGGGTAAGAGTGCCGACAGGAACACTTGTTGTGCCTGGGGGGGTGTGAGGGTGGCAGAGGGCACTGGACCACTCTGTCAGCATTCTGTGTGGCGTCCCACCCAGCTCACTGATGTCACTGGTTGCCAGGAGCTTGGCAGGATGCAAGCCACAGTGTCCTGCTCAGCCCTTGGGAACCGGTGACATCAATGAGCTGGGCGGGATGCTAGACAAGGCATCACAAGTTCCTGGGACACTGTGGCTGCCCCCCTCACCCCCTTCATCACCCAAATTCCCCCCAATGAGATGCTATCTGAGGCAACCGCCTCAGGCTCCTTCATTATGGAGATGACCCTGACCATCTCCCCAGAGAGTCCACATATAAATAGACACAGTAGAGTCAAACAGGTTCCTCTAAAAAGGATTACCACACCGGTAGCATAGCTAAGCCATAGTAGGCCAGGTAAATTCAAAGCCTGACAGGTAGGAAAACCTCATCCACAGTCTTTGCTTCTAACAAAGAGTGCAACATCCCAGTATTACCAAAATTAACCCTTTTTAAGCCAATTTGGCTTTGTCTGAAACACACATAGGAGGGAAATCGGAGATAAATGTAAACCCCTTCCACTTGCAAGCACTGGTTTCATTCACAATATAGAAAATACCTGTATTAAAATAAATATTTAATACATGACCTTGGATGGAGCAATCAATGAGTCTCATTTGACGGAATTACTTGTCTTTAAATTTCAGCTTGAGCCTCTATAAACTATATAAATAACTCGATAAACTACAAGTTTATTTCAGCAGAAGGTAAGAAGAAACTACAAACCATGTAATTTGGAGCCTATAGAGCCACCTACTGGCTGAATAGAGCATGAATAAATATTCATATCCTACATTTTATATTTGCCTAACTGAAAGAAAGAAAAAAAAACAATCTCTGTGGAATCACAGATATTTCACAACTGTTGAGAGAGCATAGGAACATGTAATGCTTTTTGTACAAGGCACAAGGGTTCTATGCAACACACACGCGCTCTTTCTTTGCAGCCAGTTGTGAAATGCTTAAAGTAAAGCAATAGAAGAGTGAACTCTGCACTTCTTACTTGTTATCATATTCTTCAACAGATTGCGGTTTTAATCGCCGACATTGACAACATACCTTTCACCTTTACGCAAAAGCTCAAATCCTTTGTTTATTTCAGTAAAAGGCAACCTGTGAGTTATCAGAGTATCCAATTTAAACTTTTCTGATATCATATCGCATACAAGTTGAGGAACACAATCCTTGCTCTTAAAACCTAGGGAACAAAAGATGTAACAAATAAGCCAATGTTGATTTACAGCAATGTGTTTCACAATTAAAAAACACTTGTACAGTATGTTTAAGGTGTAGTCATGTACCGTCTAGTTACAGAATGGTGTGCAAATAGCTGTTACTCTTTTTCTCTATAGAGCAGTGGTTCTCAGCCTGTGTAACCTCAGGACCCATATTTGTAATTGGTCATTAAGTCATGACCCAAGTCGCAGTAGTGATCAAACTGTAGGTGGGAGGTGCGTTTGGGGTGCCATTCAAATAAAAAGGCAACGCAACACACTTTCCACACCAGAAGGCGCAGTAGGTGTGATTGCATGGTACAGTGCATTATTCGCACAGGACTGTGTAAATAACGCACTGTACAAGTGTAAACTGGCACTCAAAAACACACAACACATACACAACCACAGACACAATCTCACACATTCACAGACAATCTCACATACACACTCCAAAAAAAGTCGTACATTTTTTTTTTAAGATCCACCCAGTCTCCCTACCTTACGAGAACTTGAATGGATCTTCAGCCTGGGGTCCAGTATGGACTGCTCTGCTGTGACGGGGCTCCATCCATATGTGCATTGCTTGTACAGCTCCCTTGCGTGCCCTGTAGAGGTGTCGGGAACCAAAATGTGACGTTGCTCTGGTCCAGGCACCTCTACAGGGCACGCGAAGAAGCTGTAAGAGATGCACGTATGGATGGAGCTCCCTCATGGCCATACTCTGAGCCCACCCCACCTCAAGCTGACACTCTGCACTGGGCAGCATATTTTGAAGGCTGCTTGTTGCAAGAACTGATAGGAGAACGTTTGAACCCCGGTCAGACTACAAAAGGTAGTCTGTCTGTGTACCTTTGGGAGATTTCCCTTCACATTTTTTCCTGAAGATGCAACAAAAAGTGAGAGATAATCACCCAAATTGAAGGCAATACATAGCTGTCACTTTAACAGGTGTCCTCACTGGAAGATTTACCCTCACCTATTGTCCTTGTGAGGATTTCCCATCACTTTCTGTTTTGATGACAATGGTCACCAGTAAAAATTGTGAGGGTTAATCTCCCCAGCGTTGACACAGGCAACAATAAAACCCTGACATGGGGTTCTAAACCTTCCACATACTTACCAATACTAAACAAAACCCCAAAAAGCAAACAATTAACTAAACATTAATAAGGGGTCTATTCAGTAAAGGGTGAAGAGTTTGGAGCAAGCAGGAGAAGTGAACAATCTAGGCCAAAAAAGCTGATTTGAAGAAATTCTTCAATTCAGCTCACTTTCCAGTTCAGCTATGTTGTCCTAGATTGTTCACTTCTCCCGCCTTCTCCAGACTCTTCACCCTTTTGTGAATAGACCCCTAAGTGAAAAGCTCTTTGTCCCTTTTATTTTAATATTTTCTAAGCATAATTCCCCTGCTGTTGAATGATTAACAGTAACTTGTGATGATTACAGACACATCGAAAGCCTTTCGACCACATAAAATAAATATTAATTGAACTAGATTCAAATTACCTCCAAATATAGCTCCTTTCATAGTGCGTCCAGTAAGAAACAGCATGGGATCGAATGTGATTTTTTCAGATGTTACTCCAATAATAACTGTGGTACCAGAGCCAACATAAGTGGACTGAAGTGCAGAAACCTAAAACAATATGAAATGATACCTAAAACATACTGAAGCTATGTACGTTAGCTATACCTTTAGAACATTACAATACATTTAGCTATAATACACGTTGAAGCGGATTTCCGGGGGAAAAAACTATTCAGAATATAGTGGGTCTGTCACAGTTCAGCTGCAGACTTGCAGCTGAGCTGTTACTTGTAGTTCAAGTATATACATATCTTGTACCCCTGGTTCTGCAGGCATACAGGGCTGTGCTGGGGGTTGTAGTCCTCCAGGCATGTGCTCTAAACCTGACTCACACTTGCACCTGTCTGCAAGCTTTAGGCGTCGGCCGACTTCTCCCGCTGTTTCTTATGCAGCTTCTCGGCCAATCAGTGCAGTCCGCTTGTGGCCAATCCTGTGTATCCTCCCTCTTCCTGTCTCTATTTAAACCCAGGACAGCAAACGGCACGCGGCCCGAGCAATGCTTTCCTAAGCTAGTTGCCGAGTCCCCCATTAGTGACTTACCCTGAATTCCTGGAAATTTTCCCGTGTACCGAACCTTTGGCTTGTCCTTGGAAAATCCCTGTCTACTGGCTGCCCAGTGCTTCCCTTTTGTCCTTGGAAATCCCTGTCTACAGTCTAAGCTGTACTTCACTTTGTCCCTGGAAGTCTTTAACCTGTCCCTAACCTTTGATTTGTACCCTGTACCTGTTAGGTGAGTTGGGTGGACCTAGGGATTGTGACCTGGGGTCAGCACGCAGTCAAGCCCATCTCCACCATCAGGAGCTCTGGCGAATGCCGTCTGGCTCTTAGATTCCACATCCTGGGGGACCCCATGCCACCTAATCAGCATTGCAGCACCCTGACTTGTATTTGAACTTCCAGCTTATGCTGACTTCCACTGCCTCGTTCACATACCTGCTCTGTTCCCTGCTTGTACTCCAGCTCTGGGAGTTGTCAGCCTACACTGCTTGGACACTTTTCTTTAAGTGTCCCTGCCAGTGTAGTGAAAAAGGTCCACATACCTGACTCCAGTTTATACATGTGAGTCCCAATCCATGACAGGGTCGCCCTCTCTACTGCAAGGGTTAACTGCTCATTTTTCCAAAGAGATGGTAAATAGGGTGATATACTTATCCTTGCTTCCTACTTATTTGCTTCCCTAGGCTTCCTCCATTTGGGCAACCAAATACCCAAAGCTACTTCATCTTGCTACATGACTGCTTACAGCTCTCTAACATAATCCTGTACAATGCAGGACCAGCATCACCTTATCCATCATCCTCTAGGCAAAACAAGCAGTTAACACTTACAGTTGATACAGTTGGTGGACTAAATACAAGGGTAAATGTTTTCTTTCCCTGGTGTTCAGCTTTAACATAAGCAAATTGTGCATCTCCTGCAAAAACTTTGTTGAGCTTAAGGTTTAGTTTTAGAAGCCATATCAGGCTATTGTTGTCTGCCTCTGTTTAGAAACTGGTGGCAAATCCAACATTTCACTGGAATAGGAGGTAAAGGAAGTCTTCCAATGGAGAGGTCTATATTGGTAACAACTGTCTAAAGGAGATTTGCCCTCATTTTAGAGAGATTTCTTCTCACTTTTGGGTTGATTTATGAACATTTAGCAGATTAATTCTCCTTGCGAATCTGTGTATTCTGTGCAAATATGCATGTTCTTCATATATTTTAATTTCAGATTTAATGTAATGCAATACCACATCATGGTCACTAGATGGCGTGGAGAAGAATAGAAAAAAAAACTTCCTATGCTTCTTAGCTCCATCAAATAGCCATAGAGCGCTATTACATTACATTTGACCTGAATTACTTATTTCCTATGCTGCTCTGCTCCATCTAGTGACCATAATGCAGCGTTACATTACATTTGACCTGAAATACTTATTTAGTATGATGCTCTGCTCAACCTAGTGACCATAATGCAGCATTACATTTGACCTGAAGAAAATATACTAACAATGTTAATTTTTGCCTCTATTCGCACAGAACAAACAATCTCAAAGATGTGCAGGGTGAATAGGTCTGTGATTTTTTTTTTTTTTTTACAAATAAATTCCTTTCTGTTACAAAAAAATGAAGGATGTAGCCAGGACAAAAACAATAAGCATGTACCCTGTATACAGGAAAATAAGGAAATCTTCATAAGGAATCTTCACAAGGGGACACACACAAAAACAAGCTTTAACCCTTTCACACTTGGCTTTATATATAAACATGGCTGACGTGTTGATACAATCCTGCCTTTAGCCCAACACATGTTGTAGCTGGAAAGGACTTGTATGAAAAGTATGAAAGCGTTGGCCTCATATCTGTGTAATTTGTGTGACCATATTCCCATTAAAAAAAAAACCCTATGTTGTCTCAGAACTTGATTGATCCTATCAATATGTAGTAATGTGGTCAATCATCGAGTAGCCAATACAAATAAGCAGATCCATCAAATTATGTAGCTCTGAAGCCAAGTCTCAAGCCACTTTGCTACATGTCAAATGGTTTGAATTACAAAACTAAAATTCAAGTTTACACAGTTAAGGTAAAAGATTAAACTTGACAACTAACTGTTGAGATGTTTATTTAGCCATCGGATGCCAAATCTGATAACATTTTCAGCAACAATATCTATTATATAGATTATACATTGCCATCAGTGAATCACGGGTCATCACTGCGTCAGTAGATCTGAATAAAGTTTTGTGGGAAAAAAATACATCCAGTACTAAGCTAATATTACAAAAATATATTTAATAGTGCGAGTAGGATTCTTCGATTCTTCAGCGAGGAAGGTACTATTCTATAGGAATTCTATAGGAATTCAGATTAGATGATCATGGAGTTACCAAGCCATGCCATTTACCGGACAAAAACACAAAGAGGGAGAACTATGATGTGAGTGCTTTTCACTCACCTCATAGTTCTAGCCGACCTGTGACAATGAGACTGTCACAGGTCGGCTCAGTAGATCGGGAGGTGAGCGAACACATACCGGGTTCGCTCGCCTCTCGATCCTGTCACGGCTCTCTGCCGTGACAGGGGGAGGGGCTGGATTCCCATCTCCCCGCTCCGATCTGCCAGCGCTGACTGGCGGAACGGACGGGGGAGGGGGCGGGTACAGCTGGCTCTGCCTCTGGATAGGCAGAGCCAGCTGTCACTTACGCAGCTGGGCGGATCCCGTCATCTAAGTCGGGATCCGCTCCGGCTGCGGCGTCTCAGTATACCGCGAGCTGCAGCTCGCGGTATACTGAGCTTAGGGTAACGGGAGGACGCTAGTTTGTGTCCTCCCGTTACCCTAAGGAGAACTATGGAGAAAAACACTGACCCCATAGTTCTTTAAATAATATCTTGACTATTGTAGCTTTGTTTAAAGTTTGCCTTCCTTTGTTTTGCATGGAAAGTAAACACAGCTGCGAACAAATTATTTCCATACCGATTTAGCTTTCGCTATTTAGTATCCAAATTGCTTGCTGGGATACTAAACATCACATACTCTCTAAAACATAATTTTTATTTTTGGACACCGATAGCATCTTAAATGTAAAGTGCCTTTTTCATTATTGCTGTATAATAGGTTAACACATGAAAAGGCTTTACTACAAAAACAATGGCAGTTATACATGTATGAATAATATTTCATACAATTTATACCACTGGATAAAAAATATGGAACAGATTAGATAGAAACCAGTAAGTTACACGTACAATATAAAAGGAACTTGTAGTTTTATTATTTGCTTTAAGATATATATATATATACACACACACACAATTATGACAAATCACGGCTTGAATTATCTTGCTTTGCATTTAATGAGTCTATCTCATATGTTAGTTTCACCTTTTAAGTTGACTTAGTGAAATAAATGAACTTTGCACGACATTCTAATTATCCGAGTTTCACCTGTATATATATGTGTGTGTGTGTGTGTGTGTGTGTGTGATTTGCTTAAAAGTAGATAATCTTATAAATATGTATTTATTTTATCATTGCATGGTCCTTATTTGTTCATATTCTTAGAAGCAGCCATATCAGTTGGTTACATACGTGACCTATACTCATACTCACCCAAATGCTCCAATACTTACCTCCGATACCGGAACTTTCAGTGCCGAGGGAGCATGGAGCCAGCTTCCTAGCGAATCAGGAAGCCAGGAGGCAGGTCATGATGTGCCACCGTCTTCCTGATTGGCTAGGAACCCAGCTTCACTTGTTGCTAGGCAGCCTGGCTTCCTGACCAATTAGGAAACTGGACGGCACCTCATGACTCACCACCCCGTTTCCTGATTGGTTAGGAGGTCAGGAAGCCAGGCTGCCTAGCAACAAGTGAAGCTGGCTTCCTTGCCAATCACGAAGCCGGACGGCACCTCAAGACTCGCTACCCCGCTTCCTGATTGGTCAGGAGGTCAGGAAGCCAGGCAGCCTCGCCAAGTGAAGCCGGTGTTCTTTCTCTAGAACACAAGCTTCACAGGCAGTCAGGAACTTCCTGATAATCGGGGCACACGGCACCAGTACTCGGTACTCAGTATCAGTGAGTACCAAAAAGAAATAATCGGTACTCATACTCGATACCAAAAAAACAGTGTCGGTGCATCCCTAGTTAGAATGACAGAACATAAACCCTTTCCTTATTGCCATTACATTCAGGGAAGATTTCTGTAGTTTACACACTGTAAAGTAAAGACATGGGGGGAATTTATCAAAACTGAAGCAGACAAAATCTGGAGCAGATTTGCATTGCAGCCAGTCAGCTTCTCTCTCTCATTTGCAAATCTTACCTGAGCAAACTGAAAACAGATGCTGATTGGTTGCCATGGGCAACTGCTCCAGATTCTGATAAATTTCCCCCAGTGTGTTGTCAGCTTACACAAGATGTTACAAGCTCACTGGATTTCTGACACAGCAACACAAGACAAAACTAAAAGGAAAATGTGCATGTATTAGAGAGATGTACTGACTATTGTATTACGGAGCAGTAATATGAATAATGGTACAAAAAAAAAAAACAGACATTATTAGGAGCCAATATTTAAGCAGCTACCCACCATGATATTAGGATTTCCAATGCACTCAAAAGCACAGTTGACCCCACCATTGGTCAGCTTTATTAGCACCTCGTGGATGGGCTCTTCACAGTCCTTTGGATTGATACATTCAGTAGCTCCTAATTCTTTGGCTTTTTCAAACTTATCACTGTTTACATCAACTCCAATGATTTTAGCAGCTCCAGCAACCTTACATCCAATTATTACAGAGAGGCCAATGCCCCCTAACCCGAACACAGCACAGGTTGACCCCGGAGTAACCTGCAACAGAATAGGAAAAGTTAAAGTGTATGTAAAACCCAAACTTTTTGTTTAGTTTTGTTTAGGGTGGGAAAGGGTTAAAATCCTGTCAGTGACTCCCCCCAAACATAGACTGAAATAAAAAAGAACAAAAAATTGATGGAGGGTCTAACCCTTCCCTATTCTATTCAAAACAGAAAAAAATATTTTGCATAGAGTTACACTTTAAGTGCACCATCTGTGTTAAACCAGTTACATCAGGAGTAGGCAAATCTCAGCACTACTACCCCTGAGTTACGTTTTCAAAGTGGGATGATGTTACAAAATCCAAAAAACTTCAGAGTGGGCATGTAAAGAGATGTTACATGTTACTACATAAGATGAGGTCCAACCACTAGCATATCAAGTGATGTGACTGACTGCATATTGACTTTTCTTCTTCTCTTACAAAAAGCAAAGCAGCAGGTCTTAAATGGCTACACGATGAAGGATGAAGATAGAACTTTTACCAACAGTTGTGGTCGCAGGCTAAGACTCAGAGAAAAAAAAAAGACTAAAAATGCTTGTGTGTGTGTCTGCATTTGTGAATATGTTTATATGTATCCCTTTACATACAGTAGCATACTTCTTTACAATTAATGCTAGGAACCAGTGTAGTGGGTGCATGAGATATTGCTGGAGAGCACAGGTAAACCCGATTCTTCTGGTCCCTGAGGCAAACACCAAAATACCCCCCCTCCAGTCACATAAAAAAAAAGCTTCTCAATATAAGACATTAATCTACCATCCAGCAAAAATATTTGATATGTGCCAGAACTGAACATCATAGACATACAGTACTGTGCAAACGTTTAAGGCAGGTGTGAAAAAATGCTGTAAAGTAAGAATGCTTTCAGAAATAAAACTGTTAATAGTTGATTTTTTATCAATTAACAAAATGGAAAGTAAATGAACAGAAGAGAAATCCAACTCAAATCAATATTTGGTGTGACCACCCTTTGTCTTCAAAACAGCATCAATTCTTCTAGGTACACTTGCACATAGTTTTTGAAGGAACTCGTCAGGTAGATTGTTCCAAACATTTTGGGAGAACTAAGCACAGATCTTCTGAGGGGTCGGCTGCCTCAAATCCTTCTGTCTCTTCATGTAATTCCAGACAGACTCAATGATGTTGAGATCAGGGCTCTGTGGGAGCCAAACCATCACTTCCAGGACTCCTTGTTCTTTATGCTGAAAATAGTTCTTAATGACATTGACTGTATGTTTGGAGGTCACTGTTGTCCTGCTGCAGAATAAATTGGGGGCCAATCACACACCTCCCTGATAGTATGGCATGATGTCATTATTGTACCGCTCTCCAGCCCTTTGGTGAACAAACTTCCTCCTGCTACAGCTAAATATTTCAAATTTTTACTTATCAGTCCCAAGCACCTGCTGCCATTTTGCTGCACCCAGTTCCTATGTTTTCGTGCATAGTTGAGTCGCTTAGCCTTGTTTCCACATCGGAGGCATGGCTTTTTGGCAGCAATTCTTCCATGAAGACCACTTCTGGCCTGGCTTCTCAGGACAGAAGATGGGTGTACCTGTGTCCCACTGGTTTTTGCCAGTTCAGTGTTGATGGCACTGCTGGACATCTTCCGATGTCAAAGGGACGCAAGCATGATGTGTCTTTCATCTGCTGCATTAAGTTTCCTTGGCCGACCACTGCATCTATGATCCTCAAAGTTGCCCATTTCTTTGTGCTTCTTCAAAAGAGCTCAAACAGCACCTCTTAAAATCCCAGTCTGCTTTGAAACATTTGCCTGGGAGAGACCTTACCGATGCAGTCTAACCACCTTGTGTCTTGTTGCTGTTCTCAGTCTTGCCCTGGTGTATGACCTGTGACATGAAACTGTCTTCCACAACCTCACCTTAATAGCAGAGTTTGGCTGGTCCTCGCCCAGTTTTAAGCATCCTACACGGCTGTTTCTGTCAACCTACATATGAAATTGATGATCATGTAATTGGTTAATCATACACCTGACTCTAATCCTATAAAATCCCTGACTTTGTGCAAGTTTAAGAATTGACGCTGGTTTGAAGCCAAAAGTTAGTAACACTAAATATTGATTTGATTTAGATTTTTCTTCTGTTCACTTCTTTTTAAATCAATTTATAAAATGCAAACAATAAAAGTGTACATTTTTGTAAGCATTCTTACTTTACAGCATTTTTTCACACCTGCCTAAAACTTTTGCACAGTACTATAGTAAATGACTAAGACTTACATATACACCAATCTCCACCCTATTCCCGTCTGCACCCTCTTCCACCTCTCATGTCTGCTCCACTGCACCCCTCACCTCTGCATATATGATCGAACACTCACCTCTGCACCCCCTGCACACCTCTGGAACCCTCTTCTACACCTTTGCAGCCCTCATCAACTGCTCTTTTCTGTACCCTGAGCACCTGTGCACCACTGCTTACCTCTTGTTCACCACTCAACTATGCACCGCCTGCACCTCTGTTCCACTTCTCACCTCTGTACTCCCGTGCACCCCTCACCTCTGCATCTCTGTTCTAATACTCACCTCTGCACCCCTTCATACCTCTTCTATTGCTCTCCTGTGCATGCCTCATTCACGTCTGACCTCTGCAACCCTCTTGCACCTGCTCCCCTCGCCCACTGCTCTTTCCTGTACACTCTACACCTCTGCACCACCACTCAACCCTGCACCTCTCAACTATGCACCTCTACTCCACTAATTACCTCTGTACTCCCCTGCACACCTTTTCTACCACTCACCTTTGCACCACTCTTCCTGCGCGCACCTTTGCACCCCTTGCTGTGACTGCACCCCTCCCATTGTTCTTCCACCACACAGGGTACCAGCAATGCCCATGGTTTTGCATCCTAAATGTCACCCTACAGGGCACCAGTAAGGTGCAGCCTGAGGTCAGGTTTTCATTTTGCCTCATGGTGGGTGAGTCTCTGCTGCTTATCAAAGAGTGGGTTAGAAAGAGTTAGAAAAGTAAGAGAGGGTTTGATAATGTGGCCATTTTGAACTATACGGAGAGTTCCTCTCTACCTGTCCTGTTATAAAAAAATTTGGGAAACTTTAGGGCATTGAAAAGTATTATTATTAAGAATTGTAGCAATTTTGTACATTTTAACATTGTACTGTTTTCAGCCATATGTTAATCACATGTGTGAATAAATTAGGCTATACTGCTATTGCTGACATTTTTGTCTGAAAATACTAGCTGAATTCAAAGCCAACAGAACTTTGAGCCACTGACATGAAACATATATGTAGATCAAGTGTTATGAATTCAGTCAAAATTCATTTTCTGCTGCTTGTTGCATGTCACTGACACTATTGAAAATATTGAAAGAAAAGCCAGCCAAGCAGTAAATAATTTCAGGAAAAGGTCACTAATGAAAGCCTACCTATTTGTCACAGCATGGGTAATAGTTTTATAGAAGTTTATTTTACCATTCCATGTCAGAATTTTACAGGACTGCATTTTTGCTTAGCTAAGCGATAAATTATCAAGTACATATATACAATATTTAAAACTATGCATGTATCTAATCTCCCATGTATATAGATTAGTAAATCAGTTGGCCACTTGCCTTAGCCACATTAACAGCTGAGCCATAGCCAGTAGAAAATCCACAGCCAATCACACAGGCTTTATCCAGTTGTGCATCATCATGTATCTTAACCACACTAATTTCATCCACCACAGTGTACTCCGTAAAGGTGCTGGTGCTGAGAAAATTATGAACTACTTGGCCCTTGCAGGTAAACCGGCTGGTGTTGTCAGACATTAGACCACTGTTTTTTCCAAGACTGTAAAAAAGATTTTATACAGTTAAAAAAAAAAAAAAGAGAATTACAAATCTATTAAACATTTAAAACATGAAGTGACCATTAATGCTCCAGGTAAAATGTAAAATATAATGTATAAAAAATTGCATAGTTTATTGGTTCAGCGACACTGCATGTAAATTCATTTAGTTAACTAGCTGTTGCAAAAGTGTAGCAAAAAACGTATGTCCTTAGTGTAATTTCTCTTCTGGTAGAATGTTCATTCAGAGATTGAATGGGGATAATACCGCATCTCTAGAGACGTCCGATCGCTTGAATGTAAACAGCCATCGCTGGCGGTTTACATTGCTAACAGTTCCCCACTCGTGTGTGCGCTAAGCGCCGCGCACAAGAGGGTGGAGGGGCAGGACGTCTTAAAACACCCTCCCACTCCTACAAGACTCCCATCCGGCCGTTTAGGAATGATCATGAATGGGAGGTGGTTAAAGAACATTCAAGCAAAAGAGAAAATAATTAATTCTGTTTTTTCCCCCATTCCCACAATAGCTGGTTAACTTGCACAGAACATTTCTACCTGCAGGTTCGCTGGATGAATACGCTATGAGAACTTTTTTTTATAAATACACCCCTTATTTATAATGAAAAGTGGATATTCACTATCTGCTCTCTGTTATACTACATCAGATAACACATATTTTGGCTCACATTTTATTGCCCACTCTCATAAAATGCAAGCAGTGGTATGGAACCTGTGGAGTCCCACGGAGTTGCACTCCACTGGCTTTGGAGTCCCAAAGGCCATACGCCTGCATTATAAATAACCCATTAAAAAAAAAAACATCACCTAACTAGCTCTGCGGCATGGCAGACAGTTGTGATTAACAAAAGCAACTGTACAACATTAAAATTCTCTGACAAGTAAAGAAGATTAAGGTAGAAAAAAAGTCTATTCCTTCTGTGTATTTTGCTGTTTGTCTGGGGTTTAGCTTTGTACCCTCATTACATATTACCTATTACTGTCAAGTCACTAAATGCATTTAGTTTTCTGTGAACTAGTTATATAATGGATTTGGCCATGGTATTCTTTATGCATGATATTGCATCTGTGGAGATCACGTGGCATGACATTGAGGCAGTGATGAACAAAGTCACCAAAGGCCACTATGCAAGAACATCCCCCCCCCCCTTTCATTTAACCACTTTATACTTATGTACTTTGAATGGATAAATAGACAGATACTGTAGATAGAAGCAACGTCTGGGGTTGACCCAGGAGGTGTTCCAGCACCTGTCCCATCCACATCTAGTATACACTGGACCCCAAGTCCCAGAGGACTGTCTGCACAATATTTATACCCACATGTGTGTAGTTGAGAAACTGCAGATATTTGGAAGCCCACTGACCTACTCTTATACCCCGGTCTCCAGATATTAGCAAGAACCACATGAATAAAGTATAATTTCAAAGTGTTACTTTTGCTGCCAGCACTAAAACAAGAACAAGTGATAAAATACACTAAGTGCACTAGCATGTGGTAGTAGTAAATATTATTCTTTATTCATATAAATTATTAAAATCTACTTAGAAATATATATGTGTCTTTGTGATGCTTTGTGTGTCAATGTGAAGTATATGTATGTAACGTCATGTGAAACAATACATTTGTGTGTAGTTTTTATAAATTTTCATTATTGATAAATGGAATTACTACATCATGCCAGCACAATTGGATATTCTGTATTTTGTCCAAATCCTTGGCTTCCGAAGTGTGGATAAATTACTACAGGAGCATGAACCCTTGTATCACTATGAAAGTCAGCTCTGAGCAAAAAACAAGGATTACTTTACTTGAATAGGAAGTGTGTGAATCAGAGCTAGTTCCTAAAGTGGTAGTTATAGAAATAACAATAATAGTTGTGAAAGATGACACAAATTCTATTTGGACAATTCAATTTGTATTGATACAATTAAACAGATTATAAAGCCTATATCAAATTTTCAAAATGATTTATTTGAGAGATCGGTTAATAATGACCCTACACTTGGTGTATGATGAAACTATACTCTTGTTTCTATAAGAAGAAAGGTGTTTATTTTATAATATTGTACAATTTTGCAAACATGTGCAGTAAACCAAACAATTATTTTTCTATTCTAACTACTTTGAACTGTTAAAAGAGGCTCTGCCTCATCACTGCCACACACACACACACACACACACACACACACACAAATAAATACACACATACATAGGAACAGACTTGCATGTGTGTGTACATAATGTATATATCCACACACAAACATACATACACACATACACATTATATACATTTGGGTCATGGCAGCCTCTGCATTCTCCACACTGAGGGAGAAGTAGTGGTATTACTTTGTCACCTAAAAAAAAAGTTAAAAGAATTTAAAAAAAAAGAGAGAGATGGAACATTTACAAAATCTACCACAAAACATATATCCAGTGTACTTTTAGCATTTACTTCCTATGTTACAAAAGAAACAAATGACTAATTTCTCAGTTTTCCAGCTCCAAATACCATTCCCTAATTTTTAACCATAGCTTTCAGAGTTTGTAAAAGACCCCCCCAAACCATACATTTGCTGAAAATACAGAAGAATAAAAAGGTGGTGCTACTTATTTTGTAGGTCCCGTGGACAGTTGCGCAAATGTTTATCAAATCAACATTCTTTATAAAAATACAATAAAATAATTATCAGTGCACAGAAAAAAATTAAAGCTGTACTGAGTTAATAACAAATATTTGTAAATGTTAAATTGTACTTTTTTGTGAAATGGTAAAAAAAAAGGGGGAACACAAAACTGTAAAAAAGCAACTTATGCTAAAAATCTGGATGTTGGTCTCACACCTATGTGTTGTGGTATCATCTGATCTGCAGTGCCGTTTGTGTGCGTTTTTGGTGTGTGTTGAGATGAAACGATGCACCCACACTTTTAATTGCAGAAAACACAGCTTATGGCCATGCACTGCGTCACACAGTTGAATTAATGTTATTTTAAAAAGAAAAAAAAATCAAAGCACTGCTAGGTGTTCTAACAAAGCACTGCATGTGCATAACGTATACCAAAATATGGTGCACGCTGTTGCATGTGTATGTTATGTGTGTGGGAACAGAGGGGCTTAATTTCTTTAACTATTTATTATTTGTTTATTATTTTCATTATTATTATATATTTTTTTACATTACTGTCGGGGCCTTTGGGAAAATATCAGGAGTCTAAAACAGATATTTCCCTTTTGAAATAGTAAAAGGGATTGAGGACACAGAGCCCTCAATCTCCTTCTCTGCAGCCCCAGCACTCAGCTAGATAGTACCAATCCAAAACAATAAGCAAATTCTCACAAAAAGAAAATTGGATGAACACCTGTGCAGACTTATCCCTGTAGAGGAACAAGTCAAGACAGCCACTCATAATCCACACAACTAATGTATCCATCTATCTATGGCACAGATGCATAGGGCATCAAAACCCAGAAGCAATAAAAGACATTATAAAAAGAGAGACTTATCAGAAGATATAACAGAACTGCTCTGCCACATGCTCATGACATGCAAATGCTGTATGGAAGCAAAGGCCACATGGACCCCACTTCCACAGACCACTCAAAGAAAAAACACCCACCCCTTGGAGCTCATACACAGTGACGTGTGCGGACCAATGAAAACTCCCACATCAGGTGGGAACAGATATCTACTGACTTTCATTGATGAATATTCCAGGTACACAACAACTAATCTGATGACGACAACGGAGGGGCAATACATCAGTAAGGAAGCGGAATCATGCCTAAAGAAATGGGGTATAGTGCACTAGACCACCATAATGTACACTCCTGAACAAAATGGTGTAGCGGAACGGGAAAAAAGTGCACTCTTATAGAAATAGCCAGATGCATGCTGTCAGATGCCAACCTACCTAAGATGTACTGGGGAGAAGCAGTCAAGACTGCAACATACCTACAGAACAGACTACCATCAAAAGCCGTTACAAGCACCCCATTTGAAATGTGGCATGGATCAAAGCCTAGCCTAGGGCACATTAGAGTGTTTGGATGTAAAGCGTATATTCCATAAGAGAAGCAATCCAAATAATCATTGCTGCCAAATTAACCTTAGCTGGAAATTGGAAAAAACAATGTATCCTGTACCGGGAATTTACACAAAGATTGGATAATGTACTATTAAATGAACGGTTTATCGTGTGTCCTAACTGATACACATACCAGATTTCTAAAAAATCTGGGAACCTTGGCTCCTACATAACCACCCTGATCTGGATGTAAACACCCTCCGACGCCTGTGATGTGGTCAATAGAGTCAAGGGGAAATAAGTGAGTGACCCCTAGTTGGGAACCGAGGACCTGTGGAATAGATCCAAACTAAAATCGAAGCTGACCGACCGATGGACTGCCTACCTGATCTTCTTTCTTTACTACTCTTTCCTTTTGATTTATCTTAGATTAATAATAATACATTGTGTTTGCATTGGCATGTTATCGAACACATCAAGTCGCTTATGTTTCCTACTGCTGCCGGAATATACCATGTAAAATGTCTAATTATTTATACCTTGAAAACCTAATAAATATTTGGTTACGAAAAGAGCAGCGATCTAAATTGGAGAATACAGCCATAGAAGGTATTCTGGTGGGCTATAGTAGAAAACACAGTCATAGAAGGTATTCTGGTGGGCTATAATGAACAAAGTAAAAGATATAGGATCCTCCACCCAAAGACTGACAAAGTGACAATAAGCCGTAGTGTTTTATTTCGATGAGAACCCATCACCAGAAACAATGATCCCGGGAGTTGTGAAGTGAATTCACCCAGTGCACCAGCAAAGGAAGCTGTGCAAAGTAAAGCCGCACAGGAGTCAGAACAAGAGGTGGAACTCACAATGGATACGTCAAATTCCATGTTAAGTTCTGCTGCCCAACCTAAAATTAGAAGATCCACTTGGGAAACAAAGGGAATCCCACCCCGCAAGTTGTCATATGCTGCTAAGACACAGCATAATCAAGCCAAAATCGTGGGAAGACATAGAAAAATAGAATAAAAATGCAAAGCCAATCAATGGAGAAAGGCAGCAGAAGAAGAAATAAAATCACCCCAAAAAAATAAAACCTGGACAGTCAAAAGAAAGCAATTATCGACATGCAATATTGCTTCTCTGAAGAAATGACCGCGGATGCACTGGTCAAGCCATTTCCAAAGGATTGTCACAGTACACATCATTTAGCAACACATATGATGTACACATGTTGAAAATACAGCCGCATATGCTGATATCTATGGATTGTATTACTGGCATTCTGATGTGTACTGATATGTCTTTTGAGCTGCATATGGCACTGTAGTGCACTGTTAGTCTCTCTATATGCATGCTTATTTATGATACACAGGAAGTTTTCCTATCTATATAGGTTTCCTGCACAATGCTGTATTCTGATGTAATATTCTGTTAAGCAAGTAAAACTTAATTCAGCATTCCTCAAGATCTAAGTGCTTCATCTAAACACATAACCAACAGGGACATAGTAAACACTTACTACCTCATTTATAAACACCAAAGTGATCAGTGCTGTCATTCACTGTTTGTTCAGTGAAAGGATAGGATCAGCAAATATGTATCATACCTCCGCTCTCCATCCTGAGTGTTACCTCCGCTCTCCATCCTGAGTGTTCCGCCCCACTCGGCATCCTGACTTCTCCCGCCTGTCACTGCTTTCTCGTCCCCACCGAGCACAGGCACAAGCTCACAAGATTCATATGCTAAATACCATGTGCTGATAATGCTGGTAAACCTCCCCTTAAAAAAAAAAATATATAATGCGCCTACCTGGTTTAACTGTAGTTACTCCTTCACCAATACTTTCAACTATTCCAGCACCTTCATGGCCTAAAATAATTGGAAAGTTCACCCTTTTTACATGTCCTTCTATCACGTGGTCATCTGATCGACAGATTCCAGTAGCTATGATCTATATACACAAACAGAATGAAATGTTAAATGTAAAGTTTGTAGACTCTGGAAATGGCTCCTTTACATGTAATCATTTAAGGAGGCAATATGCCAGATTATGGGGTGCGCAATGCAGTGCCTAATTTATGCAAAAGGTACACATTTTATCATTTGAATTTTGCCTTAAAAAACAATGTCCCAGAAGTTAGAGGATGCTAGCTGTAATTCAGTACAATCACATTATCATCAGTAGTGGTATGGATTACCATTAATGGAATCAATAACCTGTAATTAGGAGTACTAGTAATACCTTAACAAAAAAATTGTATATAATACCTGGCGGTCTCCTGACTTGCTCATCTCTAACATTCCTAAAATTTGTGAGACAAACTGTCATTGTACCCATCCTACCAGCTGGGCATCACTGACTGCTGATGTGAATAACAACTGTGGTGCAGCTATGTGTAAAAACAAAATTGATATTTTTGGTTTCTAACAAGGTTCTTTGCTTGAAATAAAGCTTGTGTCTTTTAGAAGGCTTGTGTCTTTTACAATGACTAGTCTGTAATAGGGTTTTACTGTGTAATAGGGATGCACCGATACCATTTTTCTTTAAGATCGAGTATGAGTACCGATACTTTCTATTAAGTACTCGCTTATACCAATTACCGATACTTTTTTCTTAAAGTGAGAGGTGAAATTTTTTCTAAAACAATACAAAGTTAACAGTGATTGAGGGCCTAAGAATTATTGCTCATGCTCCGACATTTGTGGTGATATGCAACATGTGTAGAGCAATGGGGCAATGCACCATAAAATACTCATGTCATGAAGTGAACCATTTTTAGTTAGTTATTCTCAACATGCAGTTTGAAAAAAGGCCACAAGATGGCGTATGGGTAGGAAATGGAAGAAGGAAGCTTTTTAACTGTGGATGGAATCATGTAGAAAACCATAATTTATCTAGTTTAAATGTAAGTTGAAGATGGTTTTTTTTTTAAAGCCTGGTGGAGTTATGAAAATTGGAGCAAAGGCAGAGGTTTTGCCTGTGAAACCGAACAGGTTATAGATTTTAAATGTATAAAAGGTCAGTGAAGCTCTCACTCAGGCCAAGTTCAGCTGACAAAGCTGTGTCATTACAGCAGGACCACTTTGTCACCCAGTCATCTAATCATCTCATCCTTAGTCCACCAAGTCAATTAAATAAAAAAAGTGACCTGCCTAGTAGAGGAATCAAAGGAGGTGGAACATTTGAGGACTAATTCCAGCAACAATTAGGATAATATTGCAACTTGCAGGTGCAAAACTATGGGTTCCAGCCAGGGATTCATAGCTGAATACATAATGAATGAAAAACATTTTTTTTTCCATAGCTGATTCATAGCTGAATACGGATTATAGTTTTAATATAGTTATTATAGCAAATAGTTGATATCAGCACCGATACCGATACTGGTATCGGTGTCGGTGCATCCCTAATGTTTAATCTGTCTTAAGGCAGACCAAAGCTCTATCCAAACCATTTCCTCCTTCCCTGTTGCTTTTTTTTCTAAGTTAGTATTAAGGGCCTCAGAGATTCTTTAGGAGCTCCAATTTTTTTTTTTTATATAGATCATGGCTTCTAGTTCTGAGCAGTGCCAGGTGAAACCAATAAGTGCTTCAGCTTCACTAAGATCCCATGCCTGGCTGCTGTTGAAGCCTGGTTGAAGCCTAGAAGCAGCATTACAGTAAAAAGGAAAGACTAGAGCTCCTAAAAGGTAAGTGTTTCTGAGGTTCTCATGGCTGTTAGTGCTAGAATAGGGTAGGTAGAGGCAGGGGAATTATCTAAAGTTTAGTTTGGTGTTTAGTGTGTCTTTAGTGTTTAGTCTCTTGTCCAGAAAAGCCTCCTGTATACATATTCTTAGATTGCTAAACTGTTCTATGGAGGCTTCGGTTTTCCAAATTGGGGAATAGACCCACCTACCTTTGGTGCGAATACATACCAATCTACCAATACCATGTCTAATGAGAGCTTTTTTTTGGCCAGCAAGGTACTCCCATTGGACATGGCTTTAGTGGGTGAGCAAGACTTAAAAAAATGGGTGCGCAGGCTGAGTTGAGAATCAGGGCAAGTAAAAAGAAGGGAAAATTAAATACCTAAAAAATAAAAATGTATTTTACCTTTATCCGGACTTCATGAGCCTTTGGTGGAGCAACTTCAATCTCTTCAATGCTAAGAGGCTTGTGTGCCTCCCACAATACAGCAGCCTTGCATTTAATAACCTGGAAAAAAAGAATAAAACTTATTATAAACTACGTAAACTATAGAACAGAATAGATAACTAGATTTAAATCTTTAAGCAAGCTCTAATAGTCTGTGTAAGAAAGGTTAATGATCTGAGTAATAAATATTTGTCACCAAAGCCAATCACTGAGGAGTACGTCCAGGGGTGTAAGCGGAGGGAATTGATAAATATTTGGGACAACATTGCAGAGTGTTCTCTCTTCTCCTGTGTTTCTGTGTGTTGTGTGTTTGCTTCCTGGGCTTCTGTTCAGCGGGACCTGTGATGATGCTGTCTAGGCCTCAATCCAAATGTGTTCTGCCTGAAATCAGAGCGGGCTCCAGGGGTTTTTTCATTTACTGTATACACTGAGTGTCCAGATTATTATGACCACCTGACGTTTGTAGGCAAATTAGCTATAGAGTGCGTAAAGCAGCAGCTGCCCAGCGTTCAGAAGGCAATACTGCCGCCTCCTGAATGCTGCCTTTTTTTTTATCCCAAAGGAGACTTTCTATTGCAATACCGCGGCCGTGGCATGTATACAGGGCTCAGCAGCTGCTGTATTACCTCTCAGGTTGGCAAATGGGGGAACAGTAGAACCGAGACTCAATTGCATATTTTTACAACCCCCTTGCTGCCCGTCTGAACGAGGCCTTAGTCAAAATTGATTGTAATTGTGCTGAGACAACCTCAGTTTTTTTGTTTTTCTTCCTTTTGTGATACATTTCATGTGAGAAAGGGACTGTGTTAGTTAAAAGAGAACTATAGGGTAACCTTTTTATCCCATAGTTCTCTTTAGGGTCACGAGAGGACATATACTAACCTCCTCCGGTGACCCAAAGCTCAGTATATAGCGAGCTATTGGCCCCTACATGCTGAGAATGCCGCAACCGGAATGGATCCCGACATTACTGTCGAGATCCACCCAGCTGGCTGATTGACAGCAGGCTCTGCCTATCCAGAAGCAGAGCCAGCTGTGCCCGCCCCCTCTCCGTTCCTCCAGTCAGCACTGGAAGATCGGAGAGGGGAGAGGGAATCCCTGCGGGGAGCCGTGGCTGTCAGTTCACTAACTTCCCGATCAATAGAGCCGCCGTGTGACAGATTCAATGTCACACGTCAACTCTAATTATGAGAATGAATGGAAATCACTCACCTCATAGCTCTCCTTTAATGCTACCCGTATACATTTCTTAAAGTACAATAATAAATGATTCTCTTTATCTGAGGAAAAGAAACAAACAAGTGTTTATTCGTTTATATAATATTTGTGCATCTGGTTACATACTTTGGGTTCTGCTATTTGCACTCTATATATGCACTTAGGTGAGCATTTTTTTAATGGTATAACATGAGTTCCATCTACAACAAGGGTGGGCAAACTCCGGCCCTACAGCTGTTGTGGAACTACAAATCCCATGAGCCATTGCAAGATTCTCATAGCCACAGGTATGGATAGCATAGAGAGATGCACGATTGGATTTGCAGTTTCACCACACCTTGAGGGCTGGAGTTTGCCCATCCCTGATCTACAGCATCATTAAATGCAAAATGTACTGACCTCTGCTTTCATCTCAACATACTCAAATGCGTTTAACCTTATCCTATCTTGTTAGAGCAAGTGTTTTGTTATCATACAGCCCTCACAATACGTGCAGTAACCCATAGCAACCAACCATAATTCACTCTGCTGAAGCTAGCCCAGCACAATATGCATTGAGGGGAAGTTATGAAAACAGAATCTGGAGCAGATGTGCATGGCAACCAAAATCGGCTGAAATATTTTATTTTCAAAGCTAAACTGAACAAGCTGAAACTAGAAGCTGATTGGTTACTATGCACAGCTGCTGCAGATTCTGTCTGCTCCTGTTTTAATAAATCCCCCCCATTCGATTGTAGGTTGCCACAGTTAAGAATTAGCAATTAGAAAGAAAAAGAACTGTTTATTGCATGGGTAGGCAACAACAGCACTCCAGCTGTTGTGGAACTACAAGTTCTATAAGACATTGCAAGAAACTGATAGACGCAGGCATGATTCTCTGGGGCATAGGAATGGCGGGATTTGTAGTTTCCGCACAGCTGAAGTGCCAAGGTTACCTACTCCTGTTTTACTGTATAAGCACTCATTGAAACATTTGCGAGGTAGCTGCAGAAGGGCTGCCCATTCATTTCAGTGGGCTGCCTACTGCAGATAAATTGCACTGAAAGAAGTGTGTGCACCTTTTTTTTTAAAATCGCATTACATCACATGGCATTAGGTTACCATACAATGTGGTGTGATTCAACATACATGCGATGGCTAAGAAATAATGGCACCGCATTGCACATAAGATTGCATTATTTGATGCAGGATTGAGCATGGCATTGCACACTTCCGTATGGCGTAGATGTGAACAGATCCAAAACCTAATCAAAATTGGGTTTACACATTTACAGTTAAAGATCAGCTAATAGCTATGTACTAATACACTAGATACATTTTTTTTCTTTTCTTCTCTATTGCCTAAACTCTATAGTTGCCTATGTAGGAAAAGTATCAAAATTTGTTAGCAATCAGTCAGCTTCAAACCGTCACTTCTACAGTCCATGGTGTGAAAATAAAAACGAGGATTCTCCTGGTTGCTGTAAATCGTACTGACACGATAATGACATGCTATTAGCACACTTTTCATACATAGTCACATGGTCACACAGTTATGGAAATTAGCGACTTCTTAAACATCCCAACAGTCCAATGCCGTATACATTACTAACAACTATTTATAAAGCCATTTAAATGTTCTTACTTTTCCAGCGGTATCCATTTTGGATGGGAAGTCTTCTATGAGAAGCAGTTTCTGGTTTGGTGTAGCTCAGAATTGCACCTTCTACTTTAAAGTACAAGGTAACACGTTAACCACTCCTACTGCAAGTAAATGATTCAAACTATGCTCGCACTTTGTTCAAGCCCTTTTTTTCCAGGAAAAAAATCCTCTTTGTAAGGCCGCTGAATAAAACACATATGGACAAAGGGATCACTAAAGCCAAATGATAGTACACAATGTTTGCTTGAGTGGTATATATTAATACAGCAGGCTCACATTCTGAGTATTAAAACACACATTTTATGCTGTCAAGCATTTTAATGTGATAGTTTGCTTCTCAATTTGCCCAATTGATTGATTCAATGATTGCTTGCTGGCTGTGTTAAACTGGCCATACACTTTACAACCATCGCACGACTTGAGTCGTGCGATGGTGGTAAAGTAATTAAAAGCTTGTACGATCTGCCCATCTTGGACAGGCAAGATTCTGTACGATTCTCGGCGGGTTTTCGAACCTGCTCGGGAGACAAAAGACGTGCGACCGTACAGTAGAAACAGTCGCACGCCTTCGATACACCTGCCGATTATCGTACGATCGCGAGATTTCCCGTGATTATCGTACGATAATCGGCAGGTGTATGGGCACCTTTAGAAGATACTTCTATATAAGGCCTATCACACAGGGTTTAGCTTGTCCAGCAGTGCCTAAGCTTTATGAAAGCCACTGATATGTTGTTTAACCCTTTCTCTGCCACCAACGTATGGTATACGGCGCAATACAACCGCTTGCACCTGGCCACGTCAATATGCCATATGTCGGTGGCTTTCACCCTTCTGCTTTAAGCTCATGGTCGCTTAAGGGCAGGTTCACACCATTTTCTGGACCAGATCTGGAACGCACTTTGTTGCATTTTACCGTGTTTTTGCAGCGTTCAATTTTAGGTCTTGCTAGGGGACCTCTGCAAGACCTACTGATAGCCAGGAAAAGAGCAGCACAATGCTTGCACATAAGAGACATGAACTTTCCACAGTTGTTCTTTTCAGAGTTGCTCAAATGATCATAGCCAGGGACAACCTGGGCAGCAATGCCTCTCCACGTGTCCATCTTCCTATTATTGGCCATGCCTCGGATCATTCACAAATCTCTCTCCCCACAGAAGCAGGAAGTCCAGGGGTGATGAGATTATCCAAACCAGCCAAAAAAAATAATTTTTCCCCATTGCGTTGCATTTTTTATGCATTTTTGATGCGTTCGTGCGCGTTCTGGTGCGTTCCAGACCAGACAAAATGTGACACGCAGTATTGTTCGGGTCTGGTCTGGAACTGACTGCGATGGTGTGAACTGAGGCCAAGAAGAGTATAGGGAAACATTGGGATGCATTTTAGGTCCAGAAACAATCTGGTCTGGTCTGGAGCTGATCTGGAGGTGGTGTGAATGGACCCTTAGACCTGACGGTCCTCTGTAATTTATTAGCTGTCATCAGCGGCTAAAAAAAATATTCAGGCGCCCCCCGCCGGCATCTGGCAGTTTCTCCTGCCCTCTCAATGCTGGGATTGGCTTCTCCTTGGATCCCCGCTGCTCTCCCCCGCCTGTATTGGCTGAGGCAGCGGAATTCAAGGAGAAATGTAGAGCTGCAGCCAGCGGTGTGCAAAAACACTGGAGTGATCACTGATCACTCCAATGTTTGTAAACACCTGGGGACACAGTACTAGGTGTTCCCAGTTATGAATGAACAGGAAGTGCTTTGCATCACTTCCTGTTCATTGCTGACTTTCTGAATGGGTAGAAGCACCTACTATAGAGGATTCTACCCATTGATAACTGGTTGATAGTAAATATTTACTATCTCCAGTTTGTGAATGAATGGGAAGCCTCTGTACTGAGTGCTTTCCATTCATCCAGAGCAGAGGCTGCAGAAAAAGAAATTGACTCTGTGTCCTCAATTTCTTTTTCAAAAGGCAAATGTTAGGGGCCCGTTTAGACCCCTGATATTTTCCCAGAGCACCCCAAATGGGAAAAAAACACAACCCCCCACACACACACATATTATACACATGCAACAGATTTTTTTATTTTCAAAATAACATTGATTTAACTGTAGCAGTGCATAGCAAAGTGTTGTGATGCATTGCTGTCCGTTGTGATACGCTGTGTTGTGATTAAATGCACGTCTGTATCAGCACAGCGCACAAACGATTTTTAACATAAGTTGCTTATTTACAGTTTTGCGTTCCTTAATTTTTTTTACCGTTTTGCAAAAAGGTGCAATACAAAATGTACAAATATTTGTTATTTATTACCCAATACAGATTTAGTCAAAAAAGTATTTTTTTGTGCACTGATACTAATTTTAGTGTGCTTTTATCAATTTAATTGTGTATTTGTATAGGTTTAATATTGATTTTATAAACATTTGTGCAATTATCACAGGTCCCACAAAATTAGTAGCACCATCTTTTTATTCTACAGGGCCTGTGTTTTCGGGAAATGTATGGTTTGAGGGGGGCGGGGGTATTTTACAAATGCTAAAAGCTGCAGTTGAAAATAAAAAAAAGGTATAAAAATTGCAAAAATGGTGTGGCCTGCTGAGGTTAAAAGCATTCCGGAGGGGAGGTCTTGGCAGCAAAAGGGTTAAAGCAGAATTCCAGGCCATACCCCCTACGGACCAAAGTACCCACTTATGTAAAAAAAAACATACATGCCTCTTTTTACCCAGTCTGGTGATGTCACAAGCGGTTCCTCTGCTTCTTTGAGCAGTGGGGACAGACATTCTTTCATGACATCATTACATGAGTGCCACTGCCTGAGTACTGCCTGTGTGATAACTTGCTCCTTGGGTAGGGATGTGTAAACCACAGGCTGGGCTCACAAGAAATTGGCTGAATGACAGTGTCTTTTTGCGCTGAGGAGCACCGCCAAGGCTGTACTGAAGAGGAAGTCTGGGACAGTGCTGGGGTGTGGAGAGGGTCAATGAAAATTTTCAATTTATATATTTTATTATAACGGAAGATGGGGAATCTAAAAATGAAAACACAAAAAAACACATATTTTGCTGAAGTTCATCTTTAATGGAGAACTATGAGGCGAGTGAAAATCACTCATCCTCATAGTTCTAGCCGACCTGTGACAATGAAACTGTCACAGGTCGGCTCAATAGATTGGGAAGTGAGTGAACACATACCGGCGCTCGCTCACTTCTCGATCCTGTCCCTGCAGAGAGCCGTGAATGTCACTCACGGCTCCCTGCAGGGATTCCCCCCCTCCCCTGTCCGATCCTCCAGCGCTGACTGGCAGAACGGGTGGGGGAGGGGGTGGAAACAGCTGGCTCTGCATCTAGATAGGCAGAGCCAGCTGTCACTCACACAGCTGGGTGAATCCAGACAGTAATGTCGGGATCCGTCCCGGCTTTGGCGTCTCAGTATACTGCGAGCTGTAGCTTGTGGTATACTGAGCTTTGGGTAATGGGAGGACGCTAGTTTGTGTCCTCCCGTTACCCTAAGGAGAACTGTGGGGAAAAGCCCTGACCCCATAGTTCTCCTTTAAAGCAACAGCTAGCAATCCCATTCAAACACTCCCAGACTGCAGTCAAACTGGCTCAGGGCCCATTTAGACTGGGGCACTCTGGTGTGTGTTTTATTAATGTATTAATGCATGTTTGTAAGGCAGTCTATTTCAAGGAATTGTAGCGCTCACCCCCTAAGGAGCCACTGAATGACCGGATATTTCTATCCCCCTGCACCAATGTACCGCCCAAATCGTGGATGCACAGCACACCAACACACCTTTAAACAGTTTTATAGTAGATTTAATAATAACACGATATATATAAAGCAACTATGGCAATTGTATACCCAACAAACACACAAAATGATATCAAGCAGCAGGCTAAGGCACTCTACAACCCAGTAGCTGCAGCTATCTGCTGTCAGCACTAATGTACGCACAGCCAAATGTCTTTAAATGTCCTCCCTTGAATGGGGTGTATGTCCCTTTAAAGTTTCCCTTTGGCAATGCCCAACCCTTCCTAGACTACTGGCCAGTAGTGATGTCCTAAGCTAGCCGGCGTTGGGGCCCTTACTGTAATGCAGGTGGGAACAGCAAACTGTTTGTCAACGTGGCCAAAGGCCTCTCACCAATCCTCAACGTCAGTTGGAAAGATATGATGCGGTCTAGCAGATGCCGGACGCACT